TGACAGTTTACTAAATAGCCTGCTGTATAGACACTTTGAATATTGTTTGCATGAAATTTTTATTTCCTGACTGCATAATTATCTGTTACAATCATAATCACATTATAAAGTTAGTTAAATTTTCTGGGTGCGGGGGTGGGGGGTAGCACTTGCCCTGCTGCACTCCCCGCTGTGTACAGCCCTGTTTTAAATCTTATCTGCCATTATAATAAGTGATGAAATATTTCAATTGTCCCATGTCATCTTCATTATTCAGTTCCTTTCAAGAAAATACAAAATGTGAATCAACTTTTTTCGCAGATACATGTACGCTTCGCGTACCTATTTTTTTCAATGTTAGAGCACATTTTGAAAAATAAAAAAGGGGCTATAAAATGGACAAAAGTTTAAGGGGTTAATTCGCCTTTACATTTTTGCGGAAAGTGGTTAGAGATGTGCGAAAAGTTAAGGATTTTGAAAAAGTGGCCAAAAATGATCAAGGAGTAAAGGCTAACCCCCTGAACATTTTATCGAAGAGATGCTAAGGTTAAACCGTTTGCTTTTTAATCAGTTTTGGCCACTTTTTCAAAACTCAAAAGTAGCCAAAATATGGAAAATGTTAACTCTAGTCTTTTACTCTGTTTTTTTTTTATGTTACCCTGAGTGTATATCCACATCGGGCAGGTTGAAAAGTTAGCCTGGCCACGGTGGGAATCGAACCCACGACCTTTGGGATACTAGTCCAATGCTCTGCCAACTGATCTATGAGGCGAAGTCTGTTCGAGTGTGTGGTATTTCGGAACTAAGTCTAGAAACTTCAATACCAATGTGCTCTCTGATCATAATATTTTTTTGCGTTTTTTGATGTTATATACCACACACTCGAACACACTTGGCCTCGTAGCTCAGTTGGCAGAGCATTGAACTAGTATCCTAAAGGTCGCTGGTTTGCTATTCCCACCGTGGTTAGGCTTATTTATGAATAATTAAAGCGCACATACGCGCGCACCCATGAGTAATCATTTACATATAACGCAGTTCGGGGATAAAATCTTCACATGCAGTATATACCACCGTCTGTTTTAAGCACTGCTATTGTGGTGGGAAAACTATCCAAACTGCCAAAACCTTCCGCTTCAAATCTTTAAAAACGCTTTTGGGTTAATGAACGTTTTTCTTATTTTTAACTTTATCAGTCTTTGCCTGTCTAAATCAGACATTGACAGTACTTTTTAATTCTTACCTTATTCCATACTTGTTTCACTTTATTTTGGCCAAATCTATCTGATTGGTTTATTTTTTGTCACGTGATCGTTTTCCCTCGATACGTCGAAATTATCCTTTTATTTTTCAGGTAGTTGCATCTCTACCAACGAAAACTTGTTCATATATTATTGGCACTATATCTACCTACACTGGCACAGACAGTTCAAAACTTTTGGGATAAGTTCCATGGCATTTCATTACTTAGGAAGATATTGAAGCGTATTGCTCTTCGTTGTCATATAATCAGTATTCTGCAATCATAAAACCTGTTTTACTCTATGGTAGTACTGTATGGTTCTCCTGCAAACAAGATCAGATCTACAAAGAGTACTCAAATTGCAAAAACGAGCTGCAAGAGTATTATTGGAAGCTGAGCGTACAGTATGTTCCGTAGACCTGTTTAAACAAGCTTGGTTGGCTGCCATTTTACATCGAGGCGCACATTAACTGATGTAGGACACACACATAAACGGATTGGCACCGACTTATATAAACGATTTGCTCATTAGAAATTGTGATATTTTAATAGGAACACTATTGGTTCTCGAAATTCAAATTGTCCACTGAGATACAAAAGAGACTGAGGGAGGGTGTACATTTACTGTTAGGACTATCAAAGCTTGAAATAGTATCGCCATGCAGTGACTTGTCATGTTTCGAGTAGTTTTACAATAAATTTCCTTAAGTACTTTTTAATAAAGCAGCGGGAGATGCTAACTTTTGAATAATTTTCATCTCTTTGAATTTTACCTTAAAAATTCTTAGTATATAATGTAATTTATTGTATATATGTTTATATATAGTTTATAGTAGTTAAGTATGTAATATTTTTTTGTAATTAGGAATATAGAGGGCCATAGGGTTATCATTTTTATTAATGTCAAGTGTTCCTTCTTGAAATAAAGTCTCTAATCTAATCTAATTCACATTGGTACGCCATCAGTGGTATACCTGAAGGTACAATATTATCCTTTATACTCCTCACGCACGAAGACTCTGGACAAGTTTATTCGCTGAACGTCGACATAAATCATATGTTGAGAAACTGCACGGCATTTTGATCAACCGCCGTTTGACGTGCAGGCTTCGGTGCGCCATTTTTACGAATGGCGACAAACCACTTCTTGTATATGTACGACCTGTAGCAAAGATATCCATGCGCATGGCGTTTTATTATAATTACAAATAATGTTTCGAACGAGCGACGTTTCTAATGAGATAAAGGAAAAAAAATTCTGGGTTAATTTAACGTACAAATTGAGTTGAATGAGGTTGAGTATGATATATACAGTGGCGAAGCTAACCATAATAATAAACTTTATTTGATGAGGGTAAACATTGATTTTTACCTGAGAAGGTATCTACCAATTGGCCCTCTAAAAATTAGATAAGCTATTTACAATATATATATACAAGGAAGCAAGCTAGTTGCATTTGACACAGCACATGGGACTATACGTCTACAGTACCAAATACAAAAATAACTAGGCCTATATTACTAAGCATACATAATGGTTTTTTTTTTGGTTTTTTTTAATTTTGACAATATAAGTTAGTAAAAAATAAGAGGAAATTCAGTACGAGTAACAAATGCACTTAAACTAAGTTTTTGCAAGAAAGACACGAATTGGAAAATTGTTCAAGATGGTCAACCTCATGATTAAGATTAGAGAAAAACCTCTTAACTTTATGTTTATGCGCAGAAGGGGAGTAATCATTAAACACTTTCAGGTCATTTGGTAAAGAATTGAAAAGTGAAATAAGTTCTGGAAGAACTCTGTAGCCAGCAGCAACAGGTCAAGCCATGCAAATTTTTAACTGAATTATTTTATTATTCAAACTTATAGAAATCCATCGTCGATAGACCTCATTAAGACATTATCTATAATCTTGTCTTGGTTTATGCAAAAATGGTCGGTTCACCGTCACGTGTGTTTTGTTTTTTCGCTAGAGCAACCAATAAAACAATACACACGTGACGATGAACTGACCATTTCTTACATCACTAAACCAGTTAGAACAAAAACATATAGATAATGAGGTCTATTATATCTGTATCGAGTTTCCTAACATTCCTATTCTATTGACTATGTGCCAACTGATCGAACTAAGGCCATATTCCTGACCACCAATGTCAAGCAAAATTATCTTCCGATCTATCTGCGCTATATTTTTCATGAAATGAAACTAGAATAACAGGATCTTTTTGTTCGTCCCTACATTTCGGTTTCCATTTCAATCAAGTTACAATTAGGAACATATCCGTTTAATTTTTGGCCTAAATATAAGTCAATTCATGCAGACTTGAGATCCATGCAGAAGTTTTTGACTTTGATAGCTCATTAATGGAATTGATTAATATACTTACATGACCACGGAGTTTTCCATTTTTCTGCATGGCCAAATATCTACCCGTTGCGATGCTTTTTATTCTAACGAGACCAAAACAAGCCTGTTCCAGCTGAAACTCAACTGAAATTAAAAGAATAAAAAAAGATGCAGTAATAAATTTACGTGGTATTTCCACAAACAATAGTATTATAATAAAAAAGACCATTAAAATCTATTATTAGACGAATTATAAGTATCTTTTACGCCCAAGATATTTAAATCATCGGTCTCTGACTCTAGCAGTGCCGTGTTGGCTCCTGTTCCTCAGGGGAGGCCACCTCCAAATTTGGGGCGCATCGTTATAGTTTCTCAAAATATATGTCGACTGTGAGGGGGAAATTTTCAAAACTATCAAAGTTTTGAAGATATGTAAGAAATGTTTAAAGGAACTGACTTAACGTTAAACATTGAGTCAACTCCCTCAAGCATTCAATCCTTAGGGAGCGGATTCAATCCTTGATCGGACCTCTACTCAAGGTCTTAAAATAATTGAGGAGGGAGAGCTACCTTTACATTGACATCTGTTTTTAAACATATTTGTATGTATTGACATTGTTCATATTTTAATTAGTTTATTTATATACTCTAGTTTTCAAAGTTGGTGTGATCTTGCAGAAGTTTACCGACATAATAATATAAAAGTGCCAAACGACTATATTATTGAGAAGTGCCAAACGACTATATTATTGAAAAGTGCCAAACGACTATTTTATTCTGAACTTATTGACCAGTGCTCGGGTGACTCACGAAAACTTTTCAAGGTGGTATCTACTCTCACTAAAGTTCGTAAGGAAAATCCCTTGCCTCCACACACTGACTTAGGTCAACTTGCGAATGACTTTGGAGAGTTCTTCCACCGAAAGATCGAACTATTCAGAATCGAAATTGATGACATTCCAGTACAACCTCCATCAGTTGAATATGAGCCACCTAAAGTTGAACTTACATCATTTCGCCAGCTAAAAGAAGAAGAGATTCGCGATATTATAATGAATTCATCGAATGCTACTTGTAAATTGGATCCTATTCCAACTTGGCTGGTGAAATTATGCGTCGATGAATTGAAAACTGTAATCACGAAAATTGTTAATATGTCATTACATGATGGCTATGTTCCTGAAGCATGGAAAGTTGCTCTTCTGGTACCTATATTAAAGAAACTTGGTCTTGAAGCTTTATTTGAAAACTTTAGACCTGTAAATAACCTCTCATTCGTGTCCAAAATTGCGGAAAAAGCAGTTGTCGTTCAGATGCTTAACCATTGTGAAGATAATGCACCTCTTCCCACTAACCAATCAGCTTATCGCCCATTTCACTCAACCGAAACAGCTCTTGTCAAAGTTCAAAGCGATATTTTAATGAGCATGGATCAACGAGAGGTAACGCTACTTGTACTGCTCGACCTGAGTGCGGCTTTTGATACGGTGGACCACGAAATCATGTTAGAATTATTAAAATCAAATTTTGGTGTCAGTGGTGACGCGCTTGGATGGTTAAAATCTTTTCTGTCAGACAGAAAACAGTTTGTTTCTGTAAACCAAGTGCTCTCAAATAGTTTTCCCGTGACCTGTGGAGTTCCGCAAGGAAGCTGTCTGGGACCGATACTTTTTCTATTCTATGTGTCGAAATTATTTGAAATTATCAAAAAGCATTTACCATCTTCCCATGGATACGCTGATGATACCCAACTGTATTTATCTTTTTGTCCTGAGTCACCTGTTTGTCAAAATGATGCAGTCAAGGTTGTCGAAGCATGTATAACTGAGGTTCGCGCTTGGTTGGTTTCACAGAAATTAAAATTCAACGATCTTAAGACAGAATTCTTAATAATTGGCACTCGCCAACAGTTAAAAAAGATAGAAATTAACTCTGTACGAGTAGGCGATGTGAATATCAAACCAGCGGAAAGTGTTCGGGATTTGGGTGCTTGGTTTGATAAAAACATGTCCATGGACGTTCACGTAGGAAAGGTATTGCAGCAAAGCATTCAGAGGTTTATATAACATCGGACAAATAAGGAAGTTCCTTTCTCAGCAGGCGACCAAAACTCTTGTGCACGCATTTATAACGTCACATCTAGACTACTACATGTAATTCTCTATTGTTTGGGATTCCTCAGTATCAGTATCAACGCTTACAAAGAGTTCTAAACGCCGCTGCAAGGATGATATGCTACACACCCAGAACTTCTCATATTACTCCAGTTTTAATGCATCTTCATTGGTTACCAATAAAGTTTCGAGTGGAATTTAAAATTGGTTTATTAGTGTATAAAGCCCTAAATGGAATGGCACCTCAATACATCCGACCGACTTGTTGTCATTTAAACCCGAAGGCAATTACCATTTAAGATCAGATGATTATTTGTTGCTGCAAATTCCCAAAACAAACTCAAAAACACTTGGAGATAGATAATTTAAGCATGCTGCTCCTCTAATATGGAACTCTCTCCCACTTAACATTAGGCGGTGTGAAACTGTTAACTGTTTTAAAACTCATTTAAAGACATTTCTATTTAGGAAGGCGTATAAATAGACCAATTTTAATAACTATTAGTGTATATATATATATATATATATATATATATATATATATATATATATATATATATATATATATATATATATATATATATATATATATATATATATATATATATATATATATATATATATTGTTTTAAATCTTTAAGATAACTCTAAGATTGTTGACACGTATCTAGCTTTTTAGAATAGAGTCAGTTTAGTTATTATTGTAAGTTTACCATTGTAAAGCGCTTTAGAATATTACTTCATAGATTAAGCGCTATATTTAAATACTCAGATTATTATTATTATTATTACAATAAATTGGAATTGAAATGGTTAGACTTTTGTGTCTCCTCGGATGAGGACATTAAATCGTAGGCACCTCGGATCTTCTATCAATTGGGCAATAGCTTGTTGGGAAATCCGCTCACTAAAGCCCGCGGCGCACACTGGAGCTGTCAGTTGAGCTGAAACGTCACTCGTGACTGTTGGCGTAAGCAAGTTCCCCCATTGTGCGGTGGCGTTGAGAGCGATTTCAGCCACGTGTGCCATCCGCACCAACATTCAACATGTTGAATAATTTCACGAATGAACATTTCATCACTTTGCTCAATCCAGATAATAGCGGTTTGTTTACTGATCACTCAGTGATTATTTTTTATCTAAAGACATCTAATAGAGCGGGTCCTAGGCTAAACCGATCAGTTTTGGATTTCCGGAGGGGTGATTTTGATGCCGATGGCCTTCGTTCTGCGCTACAAGCGATTAATCTCTCCACTATAATACAACAAGATTCTAACATAAATGAAGATTGGCTGCTATGGAAAGACACTTTTCTCACAACAGTTAAAGATTTTGTCCCTTCTCGAAAGATCAAGGGAAGAAATTCCCCTTCTTGGTTAAACAGCAAAGTCATCCACGCCTTACGGCAAAAGGAAGCTGTGTGACGAAGGCTTAAAACATCTCCGACTGTTGCCTTAAAGTTCAGAGAATTATGAGCTAACGTTAAGAAAATGGTTAAGTCTAAGCGTAAAAATTTCTTTTCCTCCCTTGATGTTAACTTCCAGCTAAACCCAAAAAATTTTGGTCGATATTTAAGCTAACAAACAAATAATCCAGCATTCCTAAATCCATGTCGATGGGTAACGCTGATGTGTCTGCTTCGTCACAATTTCGAACTGCTTCAACCCCCACTACCATCGCGGAGACATTAAACAACTATTTCTCATCTGTTTTCACGAACAGTGATTCTGATGTATCTTTGCCTCTTTCCCAACCACCAGCTACAGATTCACTATTATCAGACGTCCAATTTACTACAGAAGAAGTTCAGGGAACTCTTCTAGCGCTTGATACCAGCAAAGTGACTGGACCTGATAACATCTCGCATCTAAACTTTCTTGGAAGAAACTGCCCACCAGATTGCGCCTTCACTAACTAAGCTATTTAATAAATATGTTAGTTGTGGAGTTGTACCTGATGATTGGAAGCTAGCAAACATTGTACCTGTGTACAAGAAAGCAGAAAAAGATCAAGTTGAAAACTAGCGCCCCATTTCTCTCCTCTCTATAATTTCGAAAGTTCTCGAGCGCCGTGTTCTTGTAGCATCCGAGATCACTTGGTAGTCTTGGTCAACAACTCCCAACATGGTTTTATTCCAGGAAAATCTTATACTTCCCAGCTGGTAGAAGTGCACGACTATACAGGATCTTTACTGGACGCTGGCAAACAAATTGACGTGATCTACATGGATATGTCCAAAGCCTTTGATAAAGTTAACCACCAAATTCTTATTCATAAACTTTACAACTGCTTTGGCATCTCTGGTAGTTCACTTGGTTGGTTCTCCTCCTACTTGTTGAACAGAAGGCAGCGTGTGATTGTTCTAGGGGCTACATCATCTGAAAAACCTGTATTGTCTGGAGTCCCTCAAGGTTCTATCCTGGGTCCAATACTCTTTCTCCTTTATGTTAACGACCTACCTGATGTAGTGAATAATGCAAAAGTAGCTTCTTTTGCTGACGACACAAAATTATTCAAGTGTGTCGATTCTCACATAGACGGTGCCTCGATTCAAAGTGATCTTGATAATCTTGAGGAGTGGTCGACTTCTTCTGGACTTGTATTTAACCAAAATAATAGTGTCAGAGAATTACCAGGAAAAAGACTACCACCGAATTCCCCTACACCATCAAAAACAAAACCCTCGCAGTAACAACAGAGGAGAAAGATCTTGGCGTTTGGGTTACTAGTAATCTGACATGGTCCAAACACACCCTAGATCGATGTGCCGCAGCCAATAGGATGCTCGGGTTCGTACGTAGATCTGCAACGGAAATCACGGATAAAAGGATTCGCCGTGCATTGTATTTGGCAGTTGTGCGACCAGCGCTGGGCTACGCCACTCAAGTGTGGTCGCCGCAGTCGGTGGAGCTCATCAACCGAGTGGAACGTGTTCAACGCCGAGCTTCAAAGTTTATTCTAGGCCTCCCATTCATGTGTGACGTATCCTATAAAGACAGACTCATTTCGACAGAACTTCTTCCCCTCTCATTTTGGCATGAATATTTAGACTTAATGTTTTTCTTCAAAGCTATTACTGGCATTGTATCGATAT